CACACACACACACACACACACACACACACACACACACACACACACACACACACACACACGCACACACACACATGCACACTGGAGATTGATTCATGACTGCTTCAGACTCAGTTCAGAAGTGTCTACTAATGCAGTGTTGACTGGACGGATGAATGGGCACTATTTGCTGAAAAGAGAAGGGTTGGAAGTAACACACACACGCACGGACACACACACACACACACACACACACACACACACACACACACACACACAGACTCCCCGTAAGTTGATTGATGATTGCTCTCATTTCATTTGCTTCCGTTTCTGGATGGATTAGGGGTAGATATGTGGTGTTTGCAATGAGACCACCATGCATGCCACACTCAAACACGAGTTCTGCATCACACTGCGCTCACATGAGATGCACGACGTCCAAGAGTCTCTGAAATCAACCTCACCAGTGGCTATGGCCGCTCAACTCAGTACGTAACTCTCTCTCTCTCTCTCTCTCTCTCTCTCTCTCTCTCTCTCTCTCTCTCTCTCTCTCACCTCACAGTCCTTGCTCGTCTCTCAGAATGTCTGCCTCTCTCTCACACTACAATTATGGTTATGGCGCCCAGCGGCGTTGACTACAATGCACTACGCTCACTCCCACTGACTTGGTCGCCTGACTCGCCTCCCCAACACACAAGACCGCAGCAGCGCTTCCACGGAGTGTCCAACACATTGCGCTGAAGTCCAGACGCTGCTGGACTTTTACACTTGCTGATCCGCCTTCCAGGCGTCTTCTACTGATTATGGGTTGGCTCCCCTTTCCTTTGTTTGCTGCATCTGGAAGCTCACGGATTCCCCTTCGATCTGGATGCTTGGTCGGACTGACTGACACCTGGCCTAACGACCTCTGTGTTCCCTTGGCTGAGGTTCATGGTGCCTTCTACGTTCTAACTTCTAAACCCATAACTATTTATCTATCGGGTACTTCCTACCACGATCTACTACTTAACCAGCCTACCTAGTCTTCCAAAGCCATAGTACAACTAGAGCTAGTCTTCTTAAGCACTTGTAAATATTGTACGAGTGCCTGGAACCATTAATGGAACTGGGACCTGGGACTTGCACTAGGATCTGGGACCTGGGACTTGGGACTGAGACCAGGGACTCGGGACCTGGGACTTGCAACTAGGATCTGGGACCTGGGACTCGGGACTGGGAATCAGGACTGAGACCTGGGACTTTTAATCCACTCTATGCAATCTTGGCGCCACTTCACGTTCATCTCTACTTGTGTTATAATTGCAAATTTGCAATGCAACTTTCATGCATTCTTTGTCTTGCCTCCCTCCATCTCATCATCTAGCAGATGTCAATCCCTCGATCGGAACCATGCCGAGAAAAAAAAAAGAAAAGTTAGAAAAACAACAATTCTGCACCTCCACGCAGTGACAGAGGCAGGAAGTTCTGTGAAGAGTCACATTCCCATTCCCCAACGGCCTCTGCCTCTTTCAGGTGAGACGTCACATCCTCACAGAACTGGTGGCCAGCTAGTGGCCACGTTTCACAGGGAAATATTGCGTGCACTGAACCAATCCACTGCCTGATATCTTTCCCTTTAACATTTTCAGATTTTCTACCTGTTGCGTGTCTGCTGCCGGCGTAATAACTCGTCAACTTCCGAGGCATCTCCAGTCCTTTACTGCCCCCAATGTCCTGTACCGACACCTGCGCTCTATATCGGCCCTTACTCTCCGCCATCCTTCCGTCTCGCCCCTCTCCCTTCTCTCCCTTCTCTCCCTCGCTCTCTTCCGATCCGATTCTTTTCCCACCTCTTTCCCTGTTTGTCATCTTGCTCCTGTACTCCTTGCCCTCTCTCTCTCTCTCTCTCTCTCCCCCCAAAAAAAAGCTTCTTCTTGCCTCAATCCCAACTGTTCTGTTGGCCTGTGCTACTCTGAACACTGTTGTCTGCTCTCTTAAGCCAATGTCTAGTCACAGCACAGTGGGTGGCAACATTATTTGGAGAAGATTGATGACTTTACGGGCTTGCCTACTCCGCCAGATGTGGCATCGTCAGGGGACATATCGGTGGCACCATGATGGGCAATGGGAGAGAGCCTCACCTTAAATACTTGCCTAGCCTGCCCATTCTTCACTCTCTTTGCTGCTTGAGGTAAGCTAGGCAAGTATTTACGTGCTGCTTGCGGTAGGCTAGGCAAGTATTTACGGTACGTCTCTCTCGCATTATACCCATCATGGTGCCTCCTCCTCCTCAATGTCCCCTGACGATGCCTCATCCGAATCCGAGTCTGACTGAGTGGCCACAATGCACGTACGTAGTACGTACTACTGCTAGGAAACTTGCTTACTCTGGTGGAGTGCCTCCTCTTCACCACACTATTGCTCGTAATTAATAAGTAATATAAGTAATGAGGCTCAACTGGCACCTACCACCCATCCTCTTAGTTCCATCTACCTACTATCCTGCTCGCTCGGTCGAAGACTCTGTTCTCGGAATCGAAGACTCTGTTCTCGGAATCGAAGACTCTGTTCTCGAAATCAAAGACTATTTGATTGAAGGCTCCCATGAGTTTGGTGTGTGGCGTGTGCGTAATCGTGTCACGGCAGTTTGTTTGCTGTTTTTAACTTTTTACTAGTTTTTAGTACTTTTAACATTGCATTTCATCAGTTCATATTTCATCCGTAAGGTTGCTCACACTGTTCACAGACTCTACATTATGTACATAATAATGAAACATTTTTCTTCGCATGAATCAAATTTTGATTGGTTTATATTTCGTGGAAAAATCTGTTGCCAAAGGCGATGACTTTGCGCATTTTGCATGCCCAAACTGTACTTGTTCTTCGCAAATTCGCAATTAGAAAGAAGCGTTCGACCGCGTAGTACAACTAAGTGAAAAATTATTGTGGAAGCGCGTGCTACCGAATATTCTTTCTCATGTGGCAGCCAGTGCATCAGATCCTCTGCTGCAAAGGACGATGTCGTGGATAAATCCACTAGGGCTATGCGGCAACCGGTGTTCAGCTACAGGTAAAAACCAGATATATGTAACCACGGGATGTAAGCAACTTAGACATCACTCCACGAGCCGGGCTGCCAAGCTCACCTTGTTTGCCCGGGCTGGCCGGCCGTGCGAGGAGAGCATAGCAGGTCCCAGCAAATAAATAATAAAAAAAGTCCAAAATTCTGCAAAAAAACAAACAAACATTATGTTATAGAGAAAAATAAAGTGAACAACTTTTTGCCTCAGGGTCACATGCAAATTCTTTACCAAATTTAAAATTAAAAAAAAAATTAGAAAACAAAACAAAAAAAGTTTTGGGCCTGGCCGGGCAAGTGGTCGTGGGCCACTCATGACTCTTTTTTTTTTTTTTTTTTTTTTTTTTTTTTTTACCCCACACATACCATGACTTTGAATGTAGGCTGATGATACGTCTCCTGGAAGAGTGTGTACGTGCCAACGACATCAGTCGCCTTGAGTCTCTTCATGTCCGATACCGAGAGCGACGGTATCTCGACATTGATTCGCCGAATGTTGCCGCAGGGCTCTGTGCGAACCTCAGACACCACATGCAGCGCGTGCAAGAACGAGTCAAAAGTGTACTTCGGATGCTCTCCTGTCAGCACAAGCAAGCGTCGATGCCCCTGCTTCTCAAGAGCCTCAACCTCTTGTCGAATCTGCTCATCCGTCAAGACCGTACGCGCAATTGTCTTGTTGGGTGCCCGAAACGAACAGCTGCACTCACAGTCAAAACCCAAAAAAGTTAAAGCATTTGATCGGAAGAACTACAATTTTTGCCAATGATCAGTTCTCTTAACTCTTCTTCTTTACAATTACACCACCACTACGTCAAAAGAAAATGGTTGAGGGGGAAAAAAAAAAGAAAAAAAAAACCCATGGAGGCTAGGTTTTTCGGTGGGAACTGAAAAAAGGGGCGCTCCTCGTAACCAGGACAACCATAAAGCGGTCGTTTGATCTGACTCTACTTTGATGGCACTGCCAATCATCAGTCACAGGGCATCCAAATGTGGAAACAGAAATGCCTCTCTCTCTCTCTCTCTCTCTCTCTCTCTCTCTCTCTCTCTCTCTCTCTCTCTCTCTCTCTCTCTCTCTCTCTCTCCCCCTTCCCTCCCCATCCATCTCCATTTCCCAGCTATTTTGCCCCGATGCAGTGTGTTAAGGGGGCTCAGCCTACCAAACGGAAAAAGGACGGCGGCGCCAGGCAAAAAAAAACACGATTTGTGTCCGCGGCAGTTTGTTTCTTTTCAGCGCACAGGAGTATTCGGCATCCGGAAATAGTGGCACCGATGTACCCTCACCGAACCTCAACCTCGACTCGAATGCTCGCTGGCACTGGTGTCTGACCAAGCACATCCCCCCCCTAACCCCCCAACCCCCCCCAACCCCTCCCAACCCCTCCCAACCCCTCCCAACAACCCAACAGAAAGGAGGGAAAACAAATGACAAAAATCTTCTCCTTCGCTGGAAGTGCCTTTTTCATCAGTGTCCATTATTAATTTAAAAGACGTTTACAACTTCGCATTGACAATGGACCTGACCCGGTAGCCATGCAAGATTCAAAACCGCCCCTGGCAGTTGACCGCTTATGAACTTCCGACAAAAATAAAAAATAAAAATCATCTGCATTTTCAGTGCCCCGGGCGATGGATGGATTTTCTGAAACCTCCTTGCCTCCACTTATGACCCACGAATATTTCCTTGGCATGCTCAGCATTCATACACAAGACGAGATAACACACAATCATGCACGCACACACATGGTAGGACCCCCCACTTCCGTGGAGACCCATCTGCAAATGGATGCAATACTTAACTAGGTACATTGATTGACGCAGTAATTGGCAATGTACAGTGGCGCAAAGAGAACAATCCGGTTCCCATAGATGCGGTTCTTGATAGCAAAGGCAGTATCATAGATCTCGTTCATGATTTCCTCATTTGCTGGATCAACATTCAACAGGGTCGCCATCTCCTCCACTGTCAGCCCCTGCCAGATCATGACCGTTTCCAATATCACAAACATGCATGAACACATGCACACGGACACACACAAGCATACATGCACAAAAAACATAAGTGCACAAACACATGAATGCACACACACAGACACAAACACACACACACACACAAGCATGTGCGCACAGACACACAAAAGCATGCACAAACACACCAGCACACGCACAAACTGTATGCAAGCACACATGCACATGCACACACAAAGGCCACACAAACACACAAGCATGCATGCACGCACACACACACACACACACACACACACGCCCACACACACACGAAAGCATGCATCCAAGCGCACACAAGCATGCATCCAAGCGCACACAAGCATGCATGCACACACACAAACACACACACACATACACAAA